AAGTCAATCACCATCTCTCTGGTCTTGTCGACATTCAGCCTCAGGTGATTCTGTTCAGACCACTCAACAAAGTTGTTAATCAGTGTTCTGTACTCACCTTCCTCACCCTCTCTTATACACCCGACAACAGCTGAGTCATCAGAAAACTTCTGCAGAAGACATGACTCAGAGTTGTACTGAAAGTCAGTGGTGTATAAGATGAAGAGGAAGGGAGACAAAACAGTACTCTGTGGAGCTCCTGTATCGCTGACCACAACGTCAGACCATACACTGCCCATACGAACAAACTGTGGCCGGTCTGTCAAGTAGTCAGTCATCCAGGAGTTCATTGAATTGTCAACACCCATCACCCGCAGCTTCTCACCCATCAGCAGTGGTTGGATGGTGCACACCTCCACCTTCCCGCTTTTGGAACAGTCTTTATCCACCCATATCAAACCGTAATCTGGGACCTCGACGCTGTTGTCCGGGATATGTGAATGCAGCCAAGTTTCACTGAAGCAAAAAATGCTACACTCATGGTACTCCTTCTGGGTCTTCACCAGCGCTGCAAGTTCGCCTGTTTTATTTCCCAGAGACCTGACGTTACCCATTATAATAACCGGGACCGCTGTTATGCTTTCTTCTTTTCTCTCTCAATTTGGCTCCAGACTTGCAACCCCGGTGTTTCCTCTGTAACTCCTGCAGGACCACAGGTCTGTCTCCCGGCAGCAGCACAGGCTTGCACAGCGCAATCAGCTGGTCGCGCGTGTAAACAAATCCCCCGCTACTACCGGCGGAGTTCTCCGTAACAAAGAGTTGAAAAGGTAACAGGAGAACGTGGAGAAGAGTAAAGAAGCTTAGTCCAGCCATCTTCCAAAACGTTTATGAACAGGTTGTGCTTATTCTGTAAAAGAAAGAGAGTAATAAAAACTATCAAACAAACAAAGTTAAAAGACACGACGGGAGCTGCAGCTACAGGCAGCCACCTGCAGCAGCGCCAACTCACGAAAACAAAACCAATACAATAACATATATCATATATACAATATATGTTGCTGTACTGATTACATGTATGTAGGTCTATATCAATATCATTAAATTCTTACAGTATATGGTCACTACTACGCACTATAGAATTACAGTGGCTTGAAAAAGTATTCATACCCCTTGAACTTTCCCACATTTTCTCACGTTCCGACCACAAACATAAATATATTTTATTGGCATTTTAGATAAAAGATCAACATAAAGCGACACACAATTGTGAAGTAGAAGGAAAATTATACATGACTTTAAATTGTTTTTAGAAATAAAAAACTGAAAAATGTGGCGTGCAAAAGTATTCAGCCCCCTTTTCTCTGAGTGCAACCAGTTGCCTTCAGAGGTTGCCTGATGATTGCTGAATGATCAGCTGTTGACCTACTGATTAAATAGAGTCCACCTGTGTGTAATCTAACCTTAGTATAAATACACCTGTTCTGTGACAGCCTCAGACGTTTGCTAAGAGGACACTGGTCAGTGAACAGCATCATGAAGTCAAAGGAACACACCAAACAGGTCAGGGATAAAGTTGTGGAGAAGTTTAAAGCAGGGTTAGGTTATAAAAAGATTTCCCAAGCTTTGAACATCTCACGAAGCACTGTTCAATCCATCATCAAGAAATGGAAAGAGTATGGCACAAC